CAGTCAGTGGATCAGGCACAAGCCAGGCCATGGAGGAGGGGTCTGCCCCCCACGCAGCACCCCCAGCCCATTGCACCCTGCTCAATGCAGCTCCAGCACCTTCTAGCAGGAGGGAAACTGAGGCACAGGACCTGCCTGTGCTCAGGGCTGACACACACCCCACCACCCCACAGCTCCTGGGGCACAAGGGGCACCCTGCAATACAGGGGAAGGTGAGGGGTGCCTTGTCTAGCACTGCCACCCCCTCTCCCCTCCGCCCCCTGCTCACCCACTGCCGCCATCTCCCCCCAGATCGACCAGGATGGGCTGACGCTGCCCGAACGGACACTCTACCTGGGGCAGGATGAGGAGAGCGAGAAGGTGAGTGAGGGCCACCAATGCTGCAGGCATGGGGACACCAGGAGAGGGATCAGCACCCAGCATGGGTGGCAGAGGGAGGGCACCCTGCTGTCTGCAGTGCTGGGACCAGGGTGGCACTCAGCATCCCTTCCCTTGGCACAGATCCTGGCTGCGTACCGAGTGTTCATGGAGCGGCTGCTCACCCTCCTGGGGGCCGAGCACGTGGAGCAGAAGGCCCAAGAGATCCTGCAGCTAGAGCAACACCTTGCCAATGTGAGGGAGATGTCTGCCTTGGGCTTTGGGATGCCCCTGGCCAGCCCTTGGGGATCCCAGTTGCAGATCTCTGGGGACCTCCATGCCTGGTCCTTAGGGATCCCATCCCAATCCCCTTGGGAACCTCCACTCCCAGCCCTTGGGACCTTCATGCCTGGCCCTTGGGGATCCTAGCCCCTTAAGACCCTGTGGCAGGTCTTCCAGGACCCCATTCCCAACATCTTGAGAACCTCCAGTCCCAGCCCTTGGGACAACCACTTCAGTCCTTGGGGACCCCCATGTCATGTCCTTGTGAACCCCCTCCAGACCCTTGAGGACTCCATGTCCAGCTCCTGGGGATTCTAGTCTTGGCATTGGAGGACCCCTGTACCCAGCCCTCAGGTACCCCAACTCCTTGGGGACCTCATGACCAGCCCTCAGGGCCTCACTGGCAGCAGAGGGTTCCTGGGCCAGGGAGCCAGGAGGGATGTGGGTCAGCCCCATCCCTGTGCCCCGTCCCTGTGCCACCCAAAGTCGGGCAGTGGGATGGTGACAGCCATGCCTACCCGCGCAGATCACGGTGTCCGAGTATGATGACGTGCGGAGGGACGTCAGCAGCATGTACCACAAAGTAACCCTGGGTGAGCTGCAGCGCATCACCCCCACGGTGAGTATCCCTAGTCCCAGCCTGCCACCCCATATCCCCCGTCTGCCCTGTGCCCCACACTTGCCCCTGTTCCCCTGCTCCATGTCCTTGCTGCCCCCCTGATAAGTCCCCTTGAGGGTGATGAATTCACCCTGCACTTTTTTGGGTGGGAAGGGGTGGTGGGAAGCTGGAAAGCCTGGAGGGGGTTCCCTCCAAAGTGACATGGAGGGGAGGGTCCTTCTGCCCCCCTGATGATGCCCACCCTGGCAGCTCAAGTGGAAGCGCTTGCTGGACCGCATCTTCCATGACAACTTCTCGGAGGAGGAGGAGGTGGTGCTGCTGGCCACTGACTACATGCACAAGGTGTCTGACCTCATCCGCGTGACGCCCAGCAGGTGAGGGGGGCTGGCACGCCCTGTGCCCCAGCACCTTCCCCAGCCTGGCAGGGGGCTGGCAATGGGAGTGGGTACAGGGCAGCTGTGGCTGGTCCCCTCCATCACCGCCATCCTGGGGAGGCCAGGCTGGGCATGGGGACCCCAGGAAAGTTCCTGGGAGAAGGCACTGTTGTGAGCCCCACAGCACCCTGGTCGTGCTTGGCCACTCACGGAGCCCCCCTGCCACGCTAGTGGTCACCAGACTCATCACACAGCACCAGAGAGGGACACAGTGCGAGCTCGTCCCTGTGCTGCCACCAGACACGGCCACCCTGGTGACCTGCCTGGTCCCCGAGCAGGGGTGTCCCCACCCTGGTGCATGCTCCTCACCCTTCCCATGTGCCTGGGGACATGCTCAGTGTTGGGGGGCTGATCTTTACCCCCGTCACCAGGATCCTTCACAACTACATGTTGTGGCGCATCGTGGTGGTGCTGAGCGAGCACCTCTCCACCCCCTTCCGTGACGCCATCCATGAGCTCTCCAAGGAGATGGAGGGCAACGAGAAGCAGCTCGAGCTGGGCAAGATCTGCCTAAGCCAGGCCAATAAGCACTTTGGCATGGCCCTGGGCGCCCTCTTTGTCGAGGAGCACTTCTCCTCTGCCAGCAAGGCAAAGGTAGGTGATGCTGACTGTGGGCACGAAGTCATTGCATTTCTCCTGTCGCCTTGCTGAGGTGCCTGCCACCACCTGGCACCCCCCTGAGGGCTGTCTGGCAGGGTGATGGGTGGCAAGGACACCATGCCAGCAGCTGTGGTGACCCACCGTAGGTGCAGCAGCTGGTTGAGGACATCAAATATATCCTGGACCAGCGCCTGGATGAGCTTGACTGGATGGATGAGGAGACCCGGAGAGCAGCCAGGGCCAAGGTAGCAGCCCTCAGCATGGACCTTTGCCTCCACCACGGCCCAGGGGCACGTCGGATGGGGACTTGAACCCATCACTCGCTTTACCCACAGCTCCGATACATGATGGTAATGATCGGGTACCCTGATTTCCGGCTGAAGCCGGAGGCCATTGACAAGGAATATGAGGCAAGGGTTGGCCCAGGGCCACATCGGGGTATGGGGATGCGGAGTGGGGAGATGGTCCCAAAATCCGCCTCCAGGTCTGCGGAGACCAGGATGGGGAGATGCTACTTCAAAACAAGCCAACTCCTGGTAGCTCATTGTACCCACTACTCGCACAGCTACAGCCACATGGGCAGTGCCACGCTGTCCCTGGGGTCTGGGATGGTGTCCCCTTCCCCACATCGCACCCCCCCAGAGCTCAGCAACAGCTGAGGGTGCCAGCACGGGCCAGGGAGCCCATGGAGGTGATGAAGATGCAGCTGCCCACATGGGCACACAGCATAGGACATACTCATGCCACATCCAGCCCACGGGCACAGCCCCACACCCTGTGTCCCCATGGCTCATAGGGCTAGGAGGACACCCCAGCTGTGCTCCTCACACTCTTGGGGCTGGCATTTGGGACTGGCATCTCCCCTGACATGGCCGTGCCCCCCCAGTTCGAGGTGGATGAGAAGACCTACTTCAAGAACATACTCAACAGCATCGCCTTCGGCATCAGGCTCTCGGTGAAGAAGATCCGGCAGGAGGTGGACAAGTCCGCGTGGGTATCACCTTGCCCTGGAGGTGGCACACCATAGCCCCACCAATGCCCCCTGTCCCCCTGCCCGGTTGCACCCCACAGGGTGTAGGCAGGAGCGCACAGGGCAAGCCAGGAACACTCCCCCTGCCCCCCTGGCTGTGCAAGGGGGGGTGGCATTTCCGTGCCCCAGGTGCCCCACAGCCTGGCACCGCTGTCTCTCCTTGCAGGTGGCTGCTGCCTCCCCAGGCACTGAACGCCTACTACCTGCCCAACAAGAACCAGATGGGTGAGGCATCGCCCGGACCCCCGGGCTTCGCCCCGCGGGGTGGAGGTGTAGAGAGGGCTAGGGGTGGGGGGGCATGGCACAGGGACCCCCGGTGCCAGGTGATGTTGCAGGTGGGCATGGGGCAGGGTGCTCTCCCAACTGCAATGCTGTCTTGTGTCCCCAGTGTTCCCTGCTGGCATCCTGCAGCCCACCCTCTATGACCCTGAGTTTCCGCAGTGAGTGTGGGGCTGGGGCATGGCTGGGGGGTGCCAGGGCAGGGTATGGGGCTGGGGACAGGGGCATGAACAGGGGGTGCCCGGGCAGGGTATGGGGATACCAGTTCCTGGTGTCACCACCATCCCTGCTGGCACCATGCCCTCCACTCTCTCACCTCCACTCCCTCCCCAAATAGGTCTCTGAACTACGGTGGGATTGGCACCATCATCGGGCACGGGGCGACCCACGTGACTGGGGTGAGTGACCCCCCCACCCAGTGCTGGGATGGGAGGTGGGTGGATGGGGGGCAGCTGGACAGCTGGGCAGGACACCTGTATCTCTTGGCATGACGAGTGGTGGTGGTTGCCTTGGCAGGGGGACAGTACGACCGGCACGGGAACCTGGTGCACTGGTGGACGGAGCGGTCATACAGCAAGTTCCTGAAGAAGGCGCAGTGTATCGTTAACCTCTACGACAACTTCACTGTCTACAACCAGCGGGTGAGAGCCCCTCGCCCACCGGGCAATGTCCGGGCACACGCTGCCCCGTGGGGGGGTCCCTACTGCTCTGTTGCTGGGGCTGGGTATCTGAGAGAGAGCACGGCTCTGCCCTGCCCAGCCCTGAGACCCAACAACTCATCACACCCCAGCTGGGAAATGCCTCAGGGCCTTGGGTGAGGGAAACTGAGGCACAGCCTTGGTGCCCCCGTGGGGAAGGGGGGATGCCTGGCAGAGTGGGCCATCTCTGCTCATCCCATTACTGTCCTCTCTCTGCAGGTGAATGGCAAACACACGCTGGGGGAAAACATTGCTGACATGGGGGGGCTCAAACTCGCCTACTACGTAAGTTTCCCCCAACCCTGGGGTGTCATGGCCCTGGCAGGGCCCTGGGGCAGCTGCTGATGCCATCCCCGCTGAGTAGGCAGGCAACTCCCCCATCCTCACCTTGCTCCCTGCATCAGAGAGTGGGCATGATTCTGCTTGCTGGGGGGGTCGGGGGGGTTTGAGGAGCACCCAGCCCATGCTGAGGGTGCCCCTTGTTCTCCAGGCTTACCAGAAGTGGGTGCGGGAGCACGGACCCGAGCACCCCCTGCACCACCTGAAATACACCCATGACCAGCTCTTCTTCATTGCCTTTGCCCAGGTGAGCCCCTGCCCTCCCCATGTGTGACATGCACCGGGGTATGTGGGGGTCACCCTGTGTGGAGCAGGTGGCTCTGAGGGATGGGATGAGAGCCCTGGGGGGCCCAGTGCCCATGGCCAGGAGCTGGGCTCAGTTCCATTAACAGGTCCTGTGCTCTGGGTATGGGGCTCTGCCCTGCTGCTCCTGGGGACCCTACAAACATGTGTGTCTCCCCCATCATCTCCAAAGATGCCACAACCCCAGGAGACCCTACAACAACCATGCCCCTATGCTCTACCAGCCCACCCATACTGCAAACACAGGCTTCCAGGAGACCCCACAATAACAAGCACAAATGGGGCATTGCTGCCCTAGTCCTCTAGCAGTCAGAAAGGTCATCATGCCCTGGTGGGTGCCAGGACCCCACAGGCCCCAGTGGGTGCCAAGACCCAGGGTCCCCCACCCAGTTCACGCTCGAGGTCCTTTCCCCCTGCAGAACTGGTGCATCAAGCGGCGATCCCAGTCCATCTACCTGCAGGTGCTGACGGACAAGCATGCTCCAGAGCACTACAGGTACCAGCTGGCCCCCAAATAGGGGGGCCACGGCAGGCGCCAGCCTTCCCCACAGCTGACAGTGCCGTGCAAAGTGGGATGGGCACCCTTTGGGGTGCTGGCACCAGCTGGCTCTGGGTGCGCACCCCTGGGACAGGGGAGGGGGTGCTGCTGGGGTGAGCGGGTGCCCCAAACAGGGTGCGTGGCAGCAGCAGGGGGGGCAGAGGGTAACCCAGCTCTGAATTGCCTCCCTCTCCTGGCAGGGTCCTGGGCAGCGTCTCGCAGTTCGAGGAGTTCGGACGGGTTTTCCACTGCCCCAAGAACTCACCCATGAACCCAGTGCACAAGTGCTCAGTGTGGTGAGGCCGTTCCTCCCTCAGCAGGCTGTCCGCCCCCTCGCGAATCCCTGCCCCTGTGCCACCTCATCCCCACTCCCCACTTCCACCCGTCTCCCCCTCCTACTCTCCAGGCAAAGGGAGCACCCCTGGGTGATACAGGGGGTCAACCCCCAAAGGCAGGCACCAATCAGAGGGGTGGAGGCAGTGAGGAGACACTTGGGGTGGGCATGAGCTCCTGCCCAGAGGCAGCTGCCTCCTGCCCATCCCCTTTCTAATCCCTGCCCTGAGAACTGACGGGGGGGCTGAGTTCCCGTGGAGGAACTAGGCAATGCAGGGCAACCCCAAGCACCCATGTACGCCCTCTTCCGCCCACCCACCCCAA